ATGATTTTCAGAAAACCAGTGACTAGACATGCATTTCTTCACGTTGCCGCTTTTGAATTATTCACTGTGTTGTACTCATTCATTAGCTGCTCGTAAGGTACAGATACCTCTAGTTCATTACTGGTAAAGGTAGACTCATCAGAGGATGGAAATTTCACCAGTGTTTTAGGACTCTCAGGTTCCTCTGCAAGATTGTCATCCATAGAAGACTTTGATGTTTCTTCATCATCTGAAAGATCCTCCTCTTCATCATCATCATCATCATCATCATCCTCATTTACAAATGTTATATTGGCATTTTCAAAGATCAAGGGTCGATAATCCCTGGAATCCCATGCTTCTCCTTCTTCCTCGCTGATCCGGTCTAGTTGATTTACAAACACAGATCCCTCGACTGGGCTATTCCCAACATGCTTGTCAGTCAGATGCCTCATGACATGACAATTTTGGAGATTCAGAGACACTTCATCGTAGTCAAATAACTTGTTCTTTGTGTACATCACCTTCATATCTGTGCTGCCACGCTGCATGGCTGGTATAGCTTGCTCTGCTTTTAGGTTTCGGTCATTGTTTGTTTTCAGAGCCTTCTTCCCAATCTGTTTGATGAGATCATTGTAGGTCTCTTCCTTCTTGGAAAGGAAGCTGAAAATGTTCACATCTTTCGTGTTAGAGATTTGAAGAGCTTTTTTGGTAGGAGGGTGATTTTCAAAAGACTCCTTCCTTTTTTTCCTTCGTTTCTTGATTGCTTTGTGAACCTCTACAAACATACTGACTTTCCAATTAACAAAGAGAGAAAGCCAAGCTAGGCCCAGGTATATCCAGAGCTCCACAAAGTATCTGTACAGGGAATGGTAATTGACACTTGGATTCACACCTAAAGGAAAATACAAAGAACATAAAATGATAGAACTTGATTTACCTATGAATACATGTACTAGACTGAAATTTCTGAAAGCTATTGGAAAGCCTTGGGTGTGCCTCAAATCAACATTTTCATATACAGTTATGTATAGCAGAAAGCACAGAAGCTAGCTGCGCTTAAATCACATTAAAAGGAATTTCTGATAATATGGTATCTGACAGTGGGGATAGGCTATTTAGTTATTTATTGAAAAAATTATATTCTGCCATTTCATGTTTTAACTGGCTAGTTAAGCATAGTAAAACACAACCCAATTACGATCCATTTTCAGCATCTTTTATAGTTTCCACAAACAAATTATCCTTTGGGTCAGACTATGTGCCTGACATTAGACAATATAAATGAAAATGCATACCATGCAGCTTTGGCTTTCAAATATTTAAGAATGGTTTATTTACTACACAGATAGGCAGAGATATCTGTGAATTACCCAGACAGATGGAACACCATAAATATATAGATAATAAATGTTCTTGCCCATTCAAATTGCTGCAAGATGATGCCAAGTCTTGTGAGCTTAATGCCCAGAAGTGATAGTGCCCTTGTAGAGCCCACAAGAATGCAGTTGCCATTTTAAAGTCATTTTAAAAATACTGCACTGTGGCACTCTAGTTCCTCTCCCTCCCATGTCTTTTCAAGTGTCAAAACAGGTGAGAGGGAGGCACAGGTGGGAGGGAGGGCAAGAACCCCTTAGCTCACTGCTCTGCAAGACCCATCAGGGCATTAAAATGGTGATGGAATCCACCCGGCATCGTATCTGGTATTTCCTCTAGAGTATGGACCGTGAAAGGGCACTTCCAATGCAAAAAGCAGGTTTGTCATTGTGCATGTCTTCATTTTTAAACTTGCCCTCCACACATCTTCTTGCACTATTCTTTGTTACTACTCTCTGATGTTCATTCCAGTGTGCTTTTTATGATCATGATGAGAGTTTAACCACAGGTAGTGTCTTTAGACACTTCCTCATCCATCCCCACCCTTCTTTCCTTGCTTCAAGTTAGGCACCCCTCACAGAACAATGCACATTACAGACTGCTATAGCAGTGCCCATTTTAACTGCAGCACAAGCTTTGGAAAGGACTGAATTAGGAACTGCTGAAAGCTTGCAAAATATTGACAACCAACGTAGTTACACGAGAGAGAGAGAAAGAGAGAGAGAGATATATTACTGACCAGCAACAAAGTCTCCAAATCCTATGGTGGTAATAGTGATGAATGAGAAGTATAGCCCGTCAATATAAGTCCAGCCTTCAGTCGCCATAAAGACAAAGGGTGGAATGACTAGATGGACTAGGACTCCCCAGATGATGAAAATCGCTGTGCATGTAATTTGTGCTTTTCTCTGCAAAGAAGGAAAAGGGCAGGTATCCTTTAGTGCATTTTCCTCAGTCACAAAAATATAGCCCATGTAATTGCAAGAAATAACATTGCAGCCTAACAGAAAGAAGTAAATGTGCAGGCACACTTCAAGCTTTCTAGTCATTTCTAGATATTTTATGCACACAAGGCTGTAAAATTGGGGTGGGGGGGGGGGTTGGCAGGAAGGATAGGATGCTTTGCTTCACATTTGACCACAATTAATAAAATACAAATGGTCCTTACACATTACACAGAAAAATATCACAACTACAGGCAATGAAAATGAGGCTCTGACTGATTGAGAATCCATTTCATACTAACAAAATACACTGCAGCCCATGAAAGATTATGTTTCAAAGTACCAAGAAAAAGCCTTTTAACTTTTCACTGCAATATAGAATCATAATAATAATAATAATAATAATAA